AGCGTGTTCTTCCTTTTTGGTTTTCTGACTCCAGATCTTCACACATTTTGTTGTAATATTTGGCTTTATGTTCTTGAGCTGACCTGTGAAATTTTCTGTTCAGCTTTTGTACCTCCTCATTTCTTCCATTTGCTTTAGCATCTCTATGCTGGAGAGCAAGTTTCAGTGTCTCTTATGACATCCATTTTGACCTTTTCCTTCTTACTTGTCTTCTTAATGACTTTTTGCTTTCTTCAAAAAGCAAAAAGTTGTTATTGTTAGGTGTTGTCAAGTTGAGTCAGTTCCAACCCCTAGCAACCCTATGTACAACAGAATGAAACAATGCCTGGTCCTGCACCATCTTCCCAATTTCTGCTATGCTTAAGTCCATTACTGCTGCTGCTGTGGCAATCCATCTTGTTGGGGGTCTCTCTCTTTATTGTTGTTCCTTCCCTTTACCTCTGTATTCCTTTGGGTCACCTCTCTTGGACCGTGCACAGATACACATCTTTTCCAATCATTTTTCCCGGTAGCTGTCTTCCAAATTATTTGGCAGAGATGAGTGAGTGCCTCCAGTGCTGCATCAGTTTGTTAAGGATTTCAGTTTGTATTTCAATAATTCTAGGAGCTTTATTCTTTGCCAATGCCTTGCAGTGTACTTGGATTTCTTCCTTCAGTACCATTGAAATAGTTGAACATTGATGTTTCTTTTTTGATACAGTGATTGTGTTTATCTCCTCCATCTTCTTTATTTGCTTCCTGCCTTATTCAATAGTTTCCCCATAGAATCCTTCAGCATTTATTTCGAGGCTTGAATTTTTTTCCTCAGTTCTTTCAGCTTGAGAAATGCTGAGTATTTTCTAACTCCAGATCTTTGCATATTTCGTTATAATATTTGTCTTCTCAATCTGCGCTGGAAAACATTCTGTTCAGGTCTTTTACTTCCTCATTTCTTCCATTAACTTTAGCATCTCTTCACTGGAGAGCAAGTTTTAGGGTCTCTTCTGACATCCATTTTGGTCCTTTCTTTCTACCTTGTCTTCTTAATGACCTTTTGATTTCTTCCTGTATGTTTTTCTTGATGTCATCCCTTAGCTTTTCTAGTTTTAGGTAATTAGTGTCTATTGCACCAAATCTATTCTTGAGATGGCCTCTAAATTTAGGTGGGATATGTTTAGGATCATATTTTGGCTCTCATGACTTGTTTAAAATTTCTTCAGCTTCAGTCTGAACTTGCATATGAGGGATTGATCTGTTCTACAGTCTTGGTTTAGCTGATGATATGAAACTTTCCATTGTCTCTTTCCACAGAGTCAATTTGTTTCTCTGTATTCCATCTGGTGAAGTCCATGTTTATAATTATAATCGTCTTTTATGATGTTTTTTAAAAGATTTTCAGTAAGTAACTCATTGGTCTTGCAAAATTATATCATGGAATCTCCAGCATCATTCTATCATCAAATCCATTTTGAATTACTCATACTTTCTCTTTGTTTTGCAACCTTTACATTCCAATTACCAATAATTGTCAATACACTTTTTTTTTTACATAAACAAAAAAGAAACTTTTAATATTGCCAGGAAATATAAACTGCATGTAATATGAAACAAGTTATCAAAGATTTATACATTTATATTTGATACCTGACCATAATTTCAGTCAGTCACCATAATATCTTCTTTCCGGATTAAAAAAAAAATAGTATGCTGATTTCTATAACAAAACTTTTTCCCCCTATACAAAAATCAAATAGTGGCCAATAAATCACAGTGCAATGGGTAGAGGATAAACACCACATTGAAGATAAATACTAATGAAGAAGAAAGGAGAGAGAGCACTCTTGTGAAGTTCGTTTGTTCTTTGACAAGAGCGAGATCTAATTTGTTAACTGGTTGCTTTTCTTTTTCTGGTTTTATTGATTTATTTCTAATCAGTATACTTTCCTGGAGTTTATTTTTATCACCATGAGATCTTGACCTAGCTCTTGAACACTATTTATTGTGGCAGAGTGCAACTGAGAAGAAGTCTTAAAAGTCTATCCTCACAGAAGCCTCAGATCATGTGCAGAAGTATTTGAAGCAAAAAAAAAAGAATTGGTGTGGGGTGGAATGGGGATGAGAGAGTTGGAAATCATAGCTGTCATTAAAAGGAAAAATATTTTTTCAATTGCTCATTTGTGTCAATTGGGAAGACATCAGTAGGCTAACTCAGGTGATCTGAATAATTTAAAACTTTTGTTTAAGAGCACATATCCGGGGGCTTCCGGCTCTGACTTATTCTGGCCAAGAGTAATTTACATTCCAGCCCAAGCACTCAAGCAGAGAATGTAAGTCATTCTGTTTCTGATGAAAGGTCAGTCATGTGAAAGGTTCCTGGTATGAAAACAAATCTTCTGTATGGGCGGATTAGGCCAGGCTGCTGCCTTTGACCAACTCATTGAAGAAGTGTTTGCAGATCACAAACAGTGATAACAGGAAAGAGTGTGGCCACCACTCCTGGGGGCTGTGGCCCACATTACCCAAGACCTGGCCCAGGCATGTCCTGTGGGCAGCCAGCTCTGTCTATGACCAAATGGGGCCATCTTGGTGATGTGGCCTTATTTATTGTTGTTTGGAACTGCAAATGAGAGAATTACAAGGAGGGTAAATGTAAGAGCCATTCTGATTAGTTAGAACACACAAGACAGCTCCCGACAATATAATCTGCACCGGAAAGGTATGAAAGGCACAAGCAAGAGTGACTAGGTAAGCAGCAATCCTGACTTCGAGACAATGCATCTATCCATAAGGCAGAGGTAGTGTTGAACTTGATTTGTTTTTCCCTCTTGAATGAGATATAGAGATCCTGATTCTGCTGTGATTAAAAGAAGGCAAAGACAAAAAAAATTTTGGTTTAAAATGAGGCTACTCAATGATCAAAATAGTTATTTTAAGTTAAAAAAAGAAAATTAATCTTCAAATAAGCTGATATTATTTGGAAAATTCATCTTTACCTACAACTCGAAAAATACTTCCATTGCTTTTCCCCATAATCTGAGCCTAGCAGGAGAAGTCAAATGGGTGAGAGAAAAAAGCATGTCTGAGGAGAAAAGACATCTTCACAGGTGAGTGGTGCACTTGGAGTCTCAATATTGCAGTAAGATGCACGGGTCTAGTTGTTATGGGCCTTTCCTTTCTGCCTTTGCTTGTTGATGGCTTTACTTGCTCCTTGGTGGCCTTTGGTTGCTCTTTAGCTACTTTTGTCTCAAGAACATGGTCTCTGGTTGGCTGAGCTCCACTCCCAGGCCTCTCAGGTTCCTCCTCGTCCCACACCTGCTGCTCAGACTGAGCCCGGAGCAACTGCAGCAGCCGGAGCTGGACACGAAGCTCAATAATGGCTTCTTGCTCTTCATGGATTGCTTGATTCAAGTGATTGTTATTTCCAGCTCTTCATTCTGTCTTTGTAAACTTTCCAGAATGACTTGCAGCTCCTCTTCATCTTCACTGTCACTCTCACTCTCAGAGAAATACTCTTCAGTTTCACTTTGACCATGTTGTTGACAACTCTGAATTTCAGCAATCTCACTTCTGAGGCTTTCTATCTCTTTCCTCTCTGAGGCAATCTGCTGGTGCAGAAACTGCTCCATGGCGTGAAGCTTTTCCCATTCAGTCAGGATCTCATTCTCCCAGGCAAGGAGAGAATTTATAACTTCTTCATTTTCATTAATTTCTTCTTGGGAAACATCTTCTTTTGAAAGACTGGCTATTTCTTGTGAAATCTTGGTTTCACACTCTTGTCATTTAGCTTCTCTCAGTTTTCTTTTGAAGACCATCAACATTCTTTGTACTTCTCATAATCTTTCTTCTTTAGATACATGCTTTATCCTACCCTGCAAATCTTAATGTGAACAATTCAAAAGAAACTCCTGTCTTCTGATCTCTTCCTTAACGTTCTCTTGGGTGCCTGGCAGTGTGGGCATAGTGGCCATGTTAGACCACTGAAGAGGTTTTTTTCACTTCTTTAGTACCACATTTCCAAAGAGTTCTTGCACATATGTGAACAACACATACAGGACACGACTGCTAATCTGAACCACTAGTCTGAGCACTATAGAAATGATCTGTGTGTTCATTTTTGCCAGGAAATGAGGAGGTAGTTACATTCTGGCATTTCCTTCAGTAAGTGTTGGAATTTGTGCACTTTCTCACTCTTGGTGCCCCTCCCTCAAGCCTCTTCAAACTGGGGCAACAGCTCTTTGGTAAGCAAATTCTCTGGGAGGTTTGTCAAATACTCTCTCAGCAAACTGACTATAGTGTTAGGCTCATATTCATTCCAATTTGGAGACACTTCTCAGTCACAGGATACTTTTAGTGAATCCATCTTTGATTTAATTCCTGAAACTCTGTAGCTGCCTTCACACTTCGTACTTTTTGCGTAATCTAAACATTCTCGGAAAACTGCAGGCAGGCAAATGCTGTCATACGTCAGCCAAAGGAATTCCAAACGTGGGACCGAGACTTGGCACATCCACTTGAGGCACCTCTGCCTCTGACATTGGCTTTTCCTTTTTCTTTTTTTCCTTCCACCATTTAAGCACACTGGCTGCTGTCAAGTCTTTTGACTTCTTCTTTTTATGCTTTTCTTCTTTGGGTTTCTCCTTTATTTCAAAAATCCTTTTCCTTTTTAGAAAAGCTGGACTTCCTGAAAACATGGATGGGCTTTCAGCTTCATCTCCAGAGCCATCTTCCTGAAAGACAGCATAGCCTTCAGTTCTTTTTTTCCTTCTTCTTAAATTTCCCTTTTTCCTTCCCATGATCTTCCTCCTCATCAGACACTGTCATGGGGGAGGGGAGGGCTCACCAGTCCAGTACCACCCAGGAAATTTAGCAGGGCTGATCTCTTTAGAGTTGGGAGCTCCATTAAGTCCATTGTCATGCTCCCCCGTGAGGTGCTCACTGGGGCTGCCAGTTGGGGGCAGGAAGCACTCAGTCATTCTGACTCTCTGACAAGAGGTGACATCCTTTGCTCTGTTACCTGTTTATTACATCTGTGCCAGCTCTTGCACCATCACTGCTCCAGCTGCAACCACAGTAGCCGCCTCCTGCGCGGCGCCCCTGGCCAGTCTCAGAAGCCCCATTCCCACCTTACCCGGCCTCCGCCTGTTTTCAATGACTGGGGATCAATGTATCTTAATGGGATGTTTGATCAATTTCAGATGAAATTGGTAGAATTATTCAATCTCACCATTACTGGCTTTAGTGGTTTGTGCATAAACTTGAATAATAGTGGTATTAACTGGAATTCCTTATTGACATATGGATATTGTACTATCACAGACAGCATTATACTTCAATAAAGGTCTTGAAATGTTCTTTTTGCTGATAAATGCAATGTCATTTCTCTTCAATTTGTCATTCCCAGTATAGTAAACCTTGTGATTGTCAGACTCAAAATGGCCTTATCAGTTCATTTCGGCTCAGGAATGCTTACTGGTGATATTGATTTTTATGTATTCCATTTCATTTTTGACAACTTCCAGTTTTCCTAGATTCATACTTTATATTTTCCATGTTCCAACAGTTAATGGATGTGTGCAGCTGTTTCTCCTTATTTTGAATTGTGCAAATGTATGTCCCAAAAGTTTTACTCCATTTTCATCATTACAGTCAACCCTGCTTTGATGAGGCAGCTCTTCCCCAGCTGTAGTTTGAGTGCCTTCCAACCAGAGGGACTCATCTTTTAGTACTATAGCTTACAGTATTCTGGTGCTATCTGACAGTAATTCACTGGTATTCATAAGCTTTTCAATGGTGAAATCGTAAGAAGTAGTTTGCCTCTTTTTCTAAGTCTGTCTTTGTCTGGAAGCTCAGCTGAAACCTGTCCACCATGGGTGACCTTGCTGGCATTCAAAATATTGGTGGCATAGCTTTCAGGATCTCAGCAACATGCAAGCCACCACAGTGTGACAAATGAACAGGCGAGGGGTGGCAAATAATAATTGTTCAAAATTATTTGTTATTATTATTACTATTTTTGATTTGCTTAATCTAGGTGAACTTCTGGTGTGATGCCTGTAGGATCAGTACTGGGCTGCGAACCACATGGTCAACAGTTCAAACCTACCAATCGCTCCTGGCAAACCCTATACAGGGTCATTGGGGTTGGAATCAATTCAAGGGCATTTAACAACAACAACATAGCTAGGCAATATTTTAAGGACCTTATTGACTTATCTTACTGAAACTTCACATTATGCCTATGAGGCTGATCTCATCATGATTCCCAAAACCTGCCAGTATATGTGCAAGAGTTCTGAGACGAAAGAGAGACAGAATATAGAAAGTCAACACTTTGTAGATAAGTTCTATTCTATTCTTCCAGAATTAGAGACCCACCCTGGGAATTCAGGTTGCCATCCTCAAGCCTGTCACCAAGCTGGAGACAGTGTAGAATACAGGCAAGCAAAAGAACCCACAAAGCTTTCCTGCCATTTTTGTTTCCCTTTTCTTGATGCAACGTTTGCTTCATTGCTGTAAACCTTTAACAATGTACAGAGTTCTGACAAAATTGGTTTTGACAGTTTTTGCTTGTTTTCTTGATGTTTTTAAAGGGAGGAGGAGGCCATGGAGATTCTCAGACTTCCTCATCTTACTGCTTTTGTTTACCGCACTGTGGTTTTTTTTTTTTTTAGCATGCTTGAATTTCTTCCATTTCAAAATAAAACATCAACACCAAAATAAACTCCTTTCAATGTACCACTCTTGTCTTGCTATTTCCCCATTGCAAATGAGTTTCATATTCATGCAAATGCTCTGACAATAGAAAAGCTGTGTAGATATTCAGGAGGTATGTTTGGTGACAAAATGTAGCCACCAGCCTGCCCCTTTTCTCCACTAAGGGCAATTGAGCTTTTGATTTCTGGGCAGGAAGTGGAGGAAAGGAAGGGGGTAATAAAACCCCATTGACTGGGCAACCCACAAATCACTGTCAAGAGAATTTTATCAGTCTTGGTTGCAATATTTTGTCAGATCTGCCACTCTACAGAGGAGTACAGAGGCTCTACAGGGGAAGCACTGTACTACAAACTACAAGTTGATGGTTCTAGCCTACCAGCTGCTCCTTGGGAGAAAGACGAAGCTTCCTATTCCTGCAAAGATTTACTGCCTCAGGTTACTATGAGTTGGAACTGACTGGAAGGCAATTAACAACAACAACAACAACAACACTCTACAACCAGTGTCAAACAGAAATTAATTTTATCAAATACTAAACAGGCTTTATATTCCTAGTATTTTATTGAGGACAAGGTAACATCAACAGGAAGGTTTCTAACCATTTGTTGGTCCTCTGGTCCTTTTCTTTTGCTAGTGCATGGTAGTGGTGGATAAGAAACAACAGTTATCAGGGAGGTACACTTATCACTAATGATAAGCTTCTGAACACATCCCAAACACAGTCTTTAAAGATTACTGATCATCTCAGACAGCAGAAGTAAGCTTCTTAAAAAGTTTCTGCAGAATACTTTTACTCCATATGACTGGACTGGTGTCTTTTTCTTCTTTCTTTCTTCCTTAATTTAATACCCAGGGGCATGAACTGGTTGATCATCATTTCTGAGAGGCACTGAGGAAGGGGCTGATGTTGTGGAGTTTCCATACACAGTTGGAACAACTATAACAGACTGTAAAGAATGAATAAAACAAGCAATATCGTTACTGTAATTCTGTTCAGCTTCCCCCATCCTTGTCCATCAGAGTCAAGCACAAAGATTGTGTTTAAGTACCAGCAAACCCATAATGAGATATTTCTTTTTGGTATTTGCCACTGAGTCAATTCTGACATTATGACAACCACATGTATGCAGAATAGAACTGCATTTCATGGGATTTTCAAGACTGTGCCCTTTTGGAAGCAGATCACCAGGCACTTCTGGGTGGGTTTGAACCACCAACCTTTCAATTAGTAGTTCAATGCTTAGCAGTTTGCCCCATTTTTGCCTAAGTCTAACACCTATTCAAATGATTTTACAGAGAAGAGACTCACCGGGATGGTATAGGGGATTGCTTGAAAGGCAAAAAAAGCTGAAGCACAATTTATGGAAATCTCCACGAGGGCAAAGATCATCAACATGGCTGAAATTCCTATCCCAGAAATCTGAAATTAGAAACAGACAAGCTGATATCTTCACTAATTAAGATGGCCTCCCATAAACTTCAAAAGAGACTGACCTACAAAATCTTCTGTTGTTCATAATCAAACCACTCCATGATTATTTATGTATTATCATCATAGGCTTATTTCAGGGAATGTGAATTTTCTTAAAGAGTTTTCCTGGAAGTATGCAATTTAATTTGGAAACATTAAAAAAGTAGATATTTTCTCTTTTCAATGGTTTTTATTTTTTTAATTTTTATTGTTGATTGAATGAAGGTTTACAGACATGATCACATGTTTTACATTCACCAAATCACTCTTTGTTTCATCTCAATGATTACAATCACCTCTATGCAACAATCGTTAACCTACTTCCTCCCTATGGTTCCTATTTCCATTCCACCTACCTTCCCATCCGTTCTCAACTTTGTCCTTAGGGAACTGAAACCCTTTTGATTCTGAATGATTGACCGGTCCATGGTGAGCATACCTTACTAGTGTTGTTGTCCCTCCTTTATCTACTGCTTGCTGGAAATAGGGCCATAAAAGTGAGTTCTTTTCCAGACCTGGTTGAGAGCCCTAATCTTGGTTTCCTCCAGTCTCTTTCTGACCAGTAAGCCTATTTTACAACTTGGAGTTTTGTTTTACATTTCTCCCATTCTCTCAAGAACCTTCTAATGTGATCCCTTTCATTGCAACTGGGAGTAGTAATAGGTCACTATCTAGTTCTTTTGGCCTCAGAGTTGTGGGGAGTGATGTTCACATGCTCCCTTAGTCCGTTGGACTAATTGATTCCAAGCACCTTCTATTCTCGCTACTTTTCTTTATTCCTCACATGGAGAGACCAATAAGTGCACTTCATTGGCTGCTCATGAACTTTTAACATCCCAGATGCTATGCACCAAAGAAGGATGTAGACCATTATCTTTGTGGACTCTGCTATGCTAATTGACTGTGGTGTGCCCTGAGATATGGTCCTGAGTTCCCAGACCCAGTAACTCATTGCGTCAAGGTGTTTGGTAATATATAAGAAGTTACCATTTGTGCCTCCTGAGTTAACCTCCTAGGCAGTGAATTAGTCTCCCTTCCATCCCATCCCTGGTAACCAGCAAAGAATGTTTCTTTTAGCATGAAAATCTTTTCTTGAGTTTTTACAACAGTGGTGTCATACAATATTTATCCTTTTGTTATTGATTAATTTCATTTAGTATAATATCCTCCAGATTAATCTATGTTATAAGGTGTTTGACAAATTCATTGTTGTTTTCACCACTGCACTGTATTCCATTGTCTGCTGTTTTTATCCATTCTTTCATTGATGGGTATTTAGGCTGCTTCCATCTTTTCACTATTGTCAATAGTGCTGCAGCAAACATTGCTGTTGTTGTTGTTAAGTGACATTGAGTCATCATTTCCGACCCATGGTGACCATGTGTAGGGTTTCTGAGGAGCAGCTGGTGAGCTTGAACCATCGACCTTGCAGTTCAAAACAACTTTACAGTCCAGTACATTAACCCACAGCGCCACACACTCGTGACCTGTCTCTTATTTATTGTGTATATATACCAAGTAAAGGGGATTGATGGGTCATATGGTCATTCTATTTCCAACTATCTGAGGAAGAACCATAACATTTCCCACAGTGATTGAACCATTTTACATTCCCATCAGCAATGTAGGAGGGTCCCAGATTCTCCAAACTCTCACCCATATTCGTTGTTTTCTGTTTTTTTGAACTTTGTTACTAATGCTGGGGTGAGATGAATTTTCACTGTTGTTTTGATTTGCATCTTTCTAATGACTAATGATCATGAACATTTCTTCATATGTTTGTTGGCTGCCTGAATATCTTCCTTGGTGAAGTGTATGTTCATGTCCTCTGCCAGTTTTTAAATTGGGTTGTTTATCTTTTTCTTGTAAAGGTGCTGTAGTTTTCTATAAATTTTAGAGTTTGGACCTTTGGACATAACAGAGTCTGATATGTCGTTGCAAAAAAATTTTTTTTTCAAGTCTGTGAGTTCTTTTTTCACTCTTTTGGTGAAATCTTTTGATGCACATGAGTGTCTAATTTTTAGGAGGTCTCAATTATCTATTGTGTCTTCTACTAGTCATGTGTTTTTAGTATGTTTGACAGTGTGTATTAGAGCCCCTAAGTTTCCCCATGACTTTTAGTTTTATAGAAATGTCAGTGGTCACTTAAAAAACAAGATCCAGAACTATAGTAAAGAAGAAAACAATCAATGACTCCAGATTCCACTTCTTATAAATAACCAAAAATGACATATGATGCCTATTATTCTAGACCTGTGTGTATTGACAAAAGGTAAATAGAAGGATAGATTCTTAGAGAAACAAAGAAAGATAGGTATAGAGATAGATAGCTAAAGAGTGAACAAAGCGAAAAGAATAATTCTTTAAGACTAGAATTATCTTATTTTTCCTGTTTTGAAATAAGAGTATTAAATTGACTTGAATTTCAAAGAAGAAAAGAAGTCAAATGGAAGGAATTTCTGAACTTCAGATGAGTATTTCTTCATTACAAGAAATACCAAATTTTATAAGATTTTTCTAAAATTAAAAATCTGTGAATTCTCTAAAGAAGTTGGCATTATTTAAAAACTTACTTGGTGTTGGTTGTGTACTATGGAATCGATTCTGACTCACAGAGACCCTGTATAGAGTTTCCGGTGCTGTAAATTTATATGGGAGCAGAAAGTCTCATCTTTCTCCCACAGAGATTGAACCAAACTGTTGACTTTGCAGACCAACTCATAACTCACTCTGCTACCAGGGTTCCTTTGTTTTAATTGTTATTGTCGTTAAGTGCTATCCAGTCGGTTCCGACTCATAGTAACCCTGCATGAAGTTTCTGAAGAATGACTGGTGGGTTTGAACTGCCAACCTTGTGGCTCTAGCTGACCTTGTGGTCCAGAGCATTATTCTGCAATAGACAGTACTAAATGATTATTTATTAAAAAAACAAGGTCGTGAGCATTCTTATTTTACATCTCTCTCATATTTTTCTCTTTATTCTTTAGTTAAATGTTATTGTTTTCACTTTTCTTTTTTTTTTTTTGAGTGAAACATTGATTTTTATTTCTGTAACTCTTATATCCCTGGTTGTCCAGACTTAAATATTAAATGGTCAGTATATCTCGTTGATATCTTTACACTACTTCTCTATGTCTTTCTGAATTCTTTGATTTAGTTAAAATCTGGTATTATTGAATGTGGAGTCCTGGTGTGGCACTGTAGGACAAGCCCTGGATTATAAGGTTGGTTTGAACCTACGTGGCGTTACTACAAGTTAGAACTGACTAGAGAGCACTTAACAACAATAATGATTGAATATTAATAAATGTTTTATTAGCACTGCTTAAGTGTTTCTATTGTTTTATTGATAGACTTGTCTTCTTGTTTTTGTGTCTGCACATGAATTTGGTTGCATATATTATTTTTGAGTCGTGGTTTCTTTTTGTCAAAATTTGCAACATACCACTTCAGTGTCATTCCTCATCAAATGCTGCTGTGAAGACTGAGACAGGCTGATTTTTTTTTAGCTTGTAGTTAGTTTACCTTTTCTACCTGAACTCTTAAGGAGCCCTGGTAGCGCAGTGGAGTATGAGCTGGACTGCTAACTGCAAGGTCAACAGTTTGAATCTGCCAGTTGTTGCACAGGAGAAAGACGAGGCTTTCGGATCCTGTAAAAATTACCAGCCTCTGAAACCATATACAGGGTTGCTATGAATCGGAACCAACTGACAGCACAAAACCACCACCACCTAAAATCTCAAATCACACACACACACACACATTTGTTGATAAATACCGTCAAGTCATTTCCACTACAGTACCACACCAGCACTCTTTCTCTCTCTCCATATATAATATTGTCGTTGTTAAATGCAGTCGAGTTGGTTCCAATACAGAGCGACCCTGTATAGAGTTTCCAAGGAGTAGCTGGTGTGTTTGAACCACCCATCATGTGATTGACAGTCCTCTGCTTATCCTACAGTGCCATGCAAGGACTCTATATTTAATATATATAGATTGAAGGGGAACACCTATATTAGGAAAAAGGAATTCAAAATAATTTAGAGATATATACCTTGCTAAGGTGTAAGATATATGTGTGTCATATTTTGGATCAAATTTGCCCATCTTCCTTGCTTAGTTTTATTTCTTTACTTCAATATGTTTGTCTTTTATTTTATAATACTAATAATTCTTTACATGTTTCTTTTCTATTTTTTTTATCTAAGTTCATTTTGTTTCTGTTGTATGTTATTTCTTTTCATAATTATGGCACTGTCTCTTTCTGGTACTCAATTGTTTTCTGTACTGTATAAAGTTCTTTCTATTTCATTCTACATATGTTCTAATTGATCTTTTTTATAGACAAAGAGTAAAGGCAAGTAATTGAAAAAGATGATCCTGGTGATAGAAATGAAGCTGGAGATCCCATGATAGACTTTGGCAAGATCAATGATTTATTCATTGCAAATATCTTATGTAAACAAAACAAAAAGGGAGTATACCCATGAATCTCACCAGATGGAATACATAAGAATCAAATTGACTACATCTGTGGGAATAGATGGTGGAAATCTCCATATCATCAGCCAAAAGAAGGCCAGGTGCAGACTGCACAACAGACCATCAGCGATAGGAAATAGAAGACCAGAATGGATGTTAGAAGAGACTCTGTACTTGCTTGTCAGTATAGAGATGCTAAACTGAATGGAAGAAATGAGGGAGTAAAAGAGCTGAACCAAAGATTTTAAGGGCTGCTCAAGACAAATTCAAGTATTATAATGAAATGTGCAAAGATCTGGAGTTAAAAAGCCAAAAGGAAAGAACATGCTTAGTATTTCTCAAGCTAAAAGCACTGAAGAAAAAATTCAAGCCTTGACTTGAAATATTGAAGGATTCTGTGGGCAAAATGTTGAATGATTCAGAAAGCATCAAAAGAAGTTGGAAGGTATATACAGAGTCATTGTATCAAAAAGAACTGTTTAGTGTTCAACCATTTCAAGAAGTATCATAGATCAAGAACAAATGGTACTGAAGGAAGAAATCCAAGGTGCACTAAAGGCATTAGCAAAGAACAAGGTTCTAGAAATTGATGGAATACACATTGAAATCTTTATACAAACTGATGCAGCACAGAAGGCACTCTCTCATCTATGTCAGGAAATTTTGAAGACAGCTAGCTACCTGCCTAACCGATTAGAAGAGAACCATTATTCGTTCCCATTCCAAAGAAAGATGACTCAACAGAATGTGGAAATCATTGAATAATATCATTAGTATTACATGCAAGAAAAATGTTGCTAAAGGTAATTAAAAAACAATTGCAACAGTACATCAACAGGGAAATACCAGAAACTCAAGTCAGATTCAGAAAGACATGGAGCTAAGAATTTTATTGGTGATGTCAGATGGATTTTGGTTTAAAGCAAAGAATAACAGAAACTATGAAAAGGATTTTGACCATGTGAAGCATGACAAACTATGGATAGCACTCAGAATAATGGGTATTCCAGAACACTTGATTGTGCTCATGAGGAACCTGTATATAGACCAAGAGGCACTTGTTAGAAGAGAACAATTGAATTTTTTTAAATCAGAAAAGGTGTGCGCCTGGGGTGGATTCTTTCATCATACTTATTCAATCTGTATGCTGAGCAAGTATTCTGATAAACTAGATTATATGAAGAAGAATGTGGCATCAGGACTGGAGGAAGATTCATTAACAACCTGTGATATGCAGATGATACAACCTTGCTTGCTGAAAACAAAGAGGGATAAAAATACTGATGAAGATAAAAAACCATAACCATCAGTGTGGATTGCACCTAAATATAAAGAAAACAAAAATCCTTACCACTGGATCAATAAATAGCATCATAATAAACAGGGAAAAGATTGAGGTTGTCAAAGACTTCATTTTCTTGGATACACAATCAACACTCATGGAAGCAGCAGTCAAGAAATCATATGTTGTATTTTTCTAGTCAAATCTACTGCACAGGACCTCTTTAAAAGTTTAAGTATAAAGCTATCAGTTTGAGTTCTAAAGTTTGTATGATCAAAGCAATAGTATTTTCAATAGCCTCATATACATGTGAAAGTTGAACAATGAATATGGAATACTATAGAAGAACTGATTCATTTGAGTTATGAAGTTGGAGAAGAATATTAAAGTACCCTGGACTTTGAAAAGAACAAATAGGTCTGTGTTGAAACAGGTAAAGTCATAATGCTCCTTGGAGGTAAGGATGGTGAGACTTGTCTCTCTTATTTAGGACATATTATCAGGAGGGACCAGTCCCTGGATAAGGACATTATGCTTGGTAAAGTGGAAAGTCAGTGAAAATGAGGAAGACCTCCAACAAGATGGAGTTACACCTTAGCAGCAGCAATGGACTCAAGTGTTAAAATGATTGTGAACATATCACAGACTGGGCAGTATTTCCTTCTGTTGTGCACAGGGTTGCTATGAGTTGGAGCTGACTCGATGGCACCTAACAACAACAATAGATAAACCTGCCCACAAGGAATCTACTATTGATCACTAGATTATGTTTTCATATATATATATATACATACTGTGTTAGGACATGGGTTAATTTGCTACTTGGAAATTCTCTTTGCTGTTTATAAGTTAAAAAAGCTAAGGCTAATATGTGGAAACTGAGATTCTAGGTCTTAGTCATGTGGTAAACACAGACTAGTTCCCCTGTCAGGAATTTGTGCTAGGTTTTGTGGATGTGCCTTCTCAGGTTAGTAAGGAACTCGACTATGGAAATGAAGAAACTCAATGTTCTTCTAATTGATGGATCTATATTCCCATCAAATCTGGGTACATCTTGTGAAGAAGAAGGAAGGCACCAAGGACTGGCATTCATTTTATCATCTGCCTTTTCTACTTCTGCAAAGGGCCTGGTGTGCCCCACAAAGGCTTCTGCATACTAGGATTCTCTTTATCTTTTCTTTGCATTGACTGCTTTCGGCATCAGCGTTCTTTACTCCAGACTGGGGACGTTCTTCTCTCTTCAATTTTGTTTATGGGAAGTAGAGTTAGGGCTTGAACTCTCCTTTATCCTGCCACCAAAATCACAATGAAATCATTTGCTTCTCTACTTGGATGTAGATTTAAAAGCTGGATTCTGATTTGTTGTTGTTGTTGTCCTTTTTGTTTAATTTGTAGAGGATAAATTTTGTGTTCATACCTTAGTTCATCTTATCTATCAAGAGAGCTCATCATTTCTTTTTGCCTCTTTATAAGCTTTTCTATATACTGCTAACATAGTCATCTTTTAAACATAAAATCTAATTATACTAATTCTTTGTTTAGACCCTTCCATAGCTGCCTTTTGCTCTCAAAGTAAAGACCTAATCTCTTAGCACAACCCACAATTTAAGGTGACTCTTAAAAATCCAGCCTCATTTTGTGTTCTTCCTCCCTTGTCTGTCAATTTGTTGTATTGTGGTGGCTTATGTGTTTCTGGAAGCTATGTCACCATTTTTTATCAATACCAGCAGGTAGCCAGGTTTCAGCTGAGCTTCCAGACTATAAGACTATACAGTGGTAGGACATGGGTTGATTTGCTACTTGGTAGTTCTCTTTGCTGCTTGTAAGTAAAAAAAAAAAATAATAATAATAATACTAACATCTGGAAACCAAGATGCTATGTCTGTGTCAGTAACTTGGCTATCTGTGTAAATAAAATTTCAAATACTTAAGGTTTTGTGTTAACTTGACTAGGCCAAGGTTCTCAGTGGTTTCACAGGTGAGATGTAGTTATTCCCATGGTAAGAGCTAACAAATATATTCAACTCTAAGATGAGGTCTGGTATAAGCAGCCAATCAACTGAAAGGAATTTTTCTCTGGGCTGTGGTCTGCTTCTATGTTGAACACTCAGGCAAAGCTAGATTGCTCTCTGCTGGGTCTGGATCTTGCATCTGGCTCATCCTCTGACCTTCAGTTCTTTGGCCTGCTCCATTACCTGCTCTTCCTGGGAATCAAAAGTAGCCTGTCTTCTTACCTACTATAACTGCCTGCTTGCCTACTATAACTGCCTACTATAACTTTTTACCTACTATAACTGCCTGCTTGCCTTACCTACTATAACTTCTTACCTACTATAACTTCTTACCTACCATAACTGCCTGCTTGTTATCTGACCTACTGACCTTGGTTCATCAGCCCTGCACCTATGAGTCAGAACCCTGCATCTTGAAACACAGACTTGGGATTTGTCCACCTCTACAATGTATGAGCTTGATATAATCCTTGATATAATCCCCCTTCTCTCTTTCACTCTCTCACCTTCTCTCATTCTCTTATGGAGTGTGTTGATTCCATAAAATAAGCACTGGAATGTGAACCATAAAGTTAGTTCAAGCCCAGCAGTAGCTCCTTGGGGAAAAGATGCTACCACAAAGATTTAATTAAAGCCTCAAAAACCAGCTACACGTTGAAATCCTATCCAGTTGCTATGAGTCGAAAATGACTCTATGGCACTTAACAACAACAACACTATATATATATATATATATGTATATATATATATATATATATATATATGTGTGTGTGTGTGTGTATATATATATATATATGTAGTAGAGGTGTATCCAAACATCTATTCACATGATTAACAGGAGGATGGGCCAAGAAGGAATGCCCTTTATGTCTGAGTATATCTGTATAGGTAACTCTTTCACTTCATTCTATAGTCCTAGAGACCACATGATTGAGATTAAAGCTGGAATTGAATCAATGACTTTCCACTAGAGTTACTAGACAGTAATAATACAAAGAAAAATATTCTTGAGAGTGGAAAGAAAGAAGGTACATAGCAGATACTTACCACTGACGAATAGTTTTCTTTTGTTATCCCATTGATGCACATATCCACCAGCAACAGAATTATTCCAATGAAAGTAAAGATAGCACTAACAATATTCATTCCCACGTTGCTGTTCATCTAATGGAGAAAATGGGAATATTAAATTAAATATAGGGTAAAAGAAATGAAATAAAATAAGAATCTACCAAATTTAATGGTTCCTAATCTTTGACACAAGGTCCTAGTGTCATGCTTTAGGATAAGCCTGGACCATGAGGTCAGTTAAACTGCAAGGTCAGAGGTTCCACCAGTCACCCCTTGTAAACCCTATATAGGATTGCTATGAGTTGGAATCAACTTGACAGCACTAACATCAGCAACAAGTAGATTTGACACGGTGTCTGCAACAATGGGCTCAAACATAACAATGCTACAGATTGAGTAAGTATGGTGATAGGATGCGACCTTGGCATACACATTTCTTGATTTTAAACCATTCAGTTTCCCATTGTTCTGTCATAATAAGTGCCTCTTGGTACATGTACAGGTTCTTCATTAGAACAATTAAGTGTTCTGGAGTACCCATTCTTTACTTTGTTATTTACAGCTTGTTCCCTACAGTCAAAAGTCTTTGCATAGTCAATAAAGCATAAGTTAGCATCTTTCTGGCATTTCTGTTTTCAGTCAAGATCAGCAATGATAGCCCTAGTTCCATGTCCTCTTCTGAATCTGGCTTGAATTTCTAGCAGTTCCCCACTGATGTACTGTTACAACTGTTTTTAAATTATCTTCAGCAAAATTGTAGTTGCATGTGATATTAATGATATTGTTTGATGATTTCCACATTCTTTTGGGGTACAAACATATAAATATCTTTCAATTGACTGGCCAGGTAGCTGTCTTCCAAATTTCTTGTCATAGATGAGTGAGCCCCTCCAGGACTACTTCAATAAGTTGAAACATTTCAGTTTGTATTCTGTCTATTTCTGGAGGCTTTTTTTTTTTTTAACCAAAGTTTTCAATGCAACATGAACTACGTTCTTTAGTAGCATCAGTTCTTGATTATATTCTACCTTTTGATATGGTTGAACATTGACCATTTCTTTTTGGTATAGTGACTCTGCATATTCCTTCCATCTTCTTTTGATGCTTTCTGCACCATTCAATATTATGCCTATGGAGTCCTTTAATAAAGTTGAGGCTTGAATTTTTTCTTCTCTTCTTTTATCTTGAGAAATGCTGAATGTGTTCTTCCCATCTCCTCCAACTGCCCTTTGAATTTTTTCTGTTCAGTGCTTTTACTTTCTTATTTCTTCCATTAACTTTAATTTCTCTATTCTCAAGAGCACAGTATGAGGCTATGTGTTAATAGGCTGGACTGCGAAGAAGTTCTTTGAGTTGCAAGATTGGTGGTTCAGTCTCACCAGCTGTTCCTCAGAAGCCCTATGCTGAGTCGCTGTGGTCTGGAAACAACTTGATGGCACTTAACAACAACAACAATGCTCAAGAGAATGTTTCAGAGTCTCTTCTGACATCCATTTATGTTTTTTCTTTCTTTCTCATCTTTATAATGATCTTTTGCTTCCTTCCAGTATGATGTCTGATATCATCTCATTGCTTGTCTGGTCATTGGTCATTAGTGCCTAATGCATCAAATCGGTTCTTGAGTTGGTCTCTAGATTCAAGTAGGATATGTTGTTGTTGTTGTTAAGTGCAGTTGAGTCAGTTACAACCCATAGCGACCCTTTATAGGGTTTCTGAGGAGCAGCAGGTGAGCTTGAACTGCTGACCTTGCAGTTCAAACGACTTTGCAGTCTGGTGCATTAACCAACAGAGCCACACCAGGACTCCCAATTAGGATATAGTCAATGACATATTTTGTCTCTCAAGGACTTGTTTTAATTTTCTTCTATCTCATGCTTAACTTGCATATGAGAAGTTTCACAGTCTGCCCCTGGCCTTGTTTTGACTGATGATAAGGAGCTTTTTTATCATCTCTTCCACAGATTTAATCAATTTCATTTTTGTGTACTCCATCTGATGAAGTTCATGTGTATAGTCCTCTTTTATGTTGTTTAAAAAACTTGTTGGCTACGTATAAGTCATTGGTCTTGCAAAATTCTATTATGTGACCTCCAGAGTCATTTCTGTCGTCAAGGCCATTATTTTCCAACTACTGATGCTTTCTCTTTGTTTCCAACCTTTGCATTCCAATCACCAGTAATGATCAATACATCTTGGTTCATGTTTCATCAATTTCAGACTGAAGAAATTGGTTGTTGTTGTTAAGTGTTGTCGTGTTTGTTTTGATTCATAGCAACCCTGTATAGAATTTCCAAGGAGTGGCTGATGAGTTTGAACTGCTGACCTTGTGGTTCAAACTGACCTTGAGGTCCAGTTCTTTATCCCACAGTATAATGCTAAGATTCTGAAGAAGTTGGTAGAATTCTTCAATTCCTACCTTACTGGCTTTAGTGGTTGTTGTGTAAATTTGAATATAGTGGTATTAACTAGTCTATCTTGTAGGTGTATGGATATTATCCTATCTCAGACAGCACTGTACTTCAAGATAGGTCTTGAAATGCCTTTTTTTAAAAAAATGTTTTATTTTGAATTATGTGATAGTTTACATGGGAGAACATTAGCTTTACATTCATCCTATCATATATGGTTTCATTGCCATGGTTACAATCCCCTCCATGAATTATCAACCAACCACAGGATATACCCTACAATCCTGTCTCCCACCCTCTACCCCCTGGTCGTCAACATATAGCCCCTCTCCCTCTCTGGGTCTAAAGTCTCCAGCCACTCCGTTTCTCCACATCATTGTCTCTGCCTCCATCTCTGGCATCACTGCTTCTCTGGGTAGGGTCCTGCTCTCCGCTCTTCTCCCTTGATGGTCCCAGGGACTTCCGCTCCTAGACTGCAAAGTTAATCACTCCCCTCCTTGCTACAAGGAGATCTGGTAGCGTAGTGGTTACAAATCAGACTGTGAACCGCCAGGTCAGCAGTTCGAAACTACCAGCTGCTCCGCGGGAGAAAAATGAGGCTTTCTGCTCCCGTAAAGATTTACAGCCTCGGAAACCCTGTACAGGGTGGCTATGAGTTGGAACCGAGTCCACAGCCCATAACCACCATCCTTGCTACAAAATGTCTACCTTTACATTTCCAACCCTCACAATCAGCCCTGATAACAATTATTGACCATTTTATCACAAGAGACCTATCCGCATTTCCTTTCATCAGCACCACCTAGACAGATTGGATACTACTCAGTGGAGATTCCACCTTTCTCCACACCCACTGGATCTAGGTTCCCTCTTGAAAGCTTGTAAGTCAGTCACTTTTTGCCTTTGTAGGCTCCCTCCTCCCTCCATTTTGGGTAGCTAGTGTTCAAGTTACCCATCCCTGTCTACTCTTCTACTCTATGTATGGAGGGGGCGGAAATGATCCTTGCTGTAAAGATTTGTTTCCTCTTTTGAGCTACTGCATCCATAGGTGTAGGTCAAGTTCAT